GTCAGCAATTATAAGTTTATATGAGCACTGCAGTGCCCCCTACTGTCATTGGATATAAAAAGCAGAATTTAACCCTTTTAACAAATTTATTTTTAGGTTATTTTAATATACACACAATCTACAGATAAAATACATATATATCATTATAATGTATTTATTGATAGTGTTCGTATATCACAATCTTAATGGCTTAATAATATTTAGTGTCTGTGTTGACTGTATTAAAGTTATCTGCTTAATTAGCTGACTTTTTAAAATTAATAGTACATTAAGATTCTTTTAACCTCTTTATGTATTTAAAGGAACACTGAAGCCACAGGAACTCAACTTTTTGCTTATAAAAATCCTAACACTGTTTTTCTTCAGTAACATAGATCTGATCTGACTGCTCTGTAACTGCGCATTGGTCCTGTCTGTGCTTAAGTTTAATGTGTGTGTATGCATGTAGATTTGTACAAAATTCATATTTTGGCATTATTTTACTCTTGACAAGTATTGCACAGATTTGAAGCACCTTCCTTTTATTTTTCCTGCTTATTTCAGCTAATTAAAAAAACCCAAACACAACTACCACACGGTGTCACTCTAGTTCCTGGAATGAGCAAATTTCTCTCATCCTGGAACTCCAGCTAGCATCAGCTTCTTCAGAAGTAGGAGAGTAAATAAGAATACCTTTCTCTCCTTCCTTTAAAAAAAGTGTATTCTAAAAGGAAAAGGCTAGAACTGTTTGGAAAAGAGACTGGACTTATCTGGAGATGTGGTCTGCAGATCTGGCATCCCCAGTGTCTGCACTGGGAGATAAAAGTATCCTAGATGGATAGATGGTTTTTGTTCAAGTTTATGCTTGCCAGTGAGGGGAGATGGGAGCTGTAGGGAGCCTGTAAATTGTTCCAGCCCTGCAGCCAGGATAAGGCCACTGTCCAGCAATTATATATGGGGATGAGATGCTGCTGCTAATGCATAAGATTTTCTTTTACTGTCAGTAAGCCCCCTTAAGGATCTTGTGCTCTCACAGAAATCCATTATGACCTTTGTGCTTTCCTATCCAACATGGATTTTATCTCTCAGGATAAGAGTACCTCTTGCACACTGGTTTTAGTTTGAGCAAGCCAAAGGAAGAACCTCAGTTCTTTGCACTACAAGTAGATGATGTGTCATGGGAATCTTGGGACGTAAGAGAGAAACAAGCCCCTTGAAAAACATTTACAAACATCTCAAAAGAGGATAAAATACAGGAATTTTTCTTTATATCTGTCTTCCTACTTCTATAAAACAGCTTGTTCTTTTTTATTGGATTATACAGAAATCCCAAAGAAATGCTTTTTAGAACAAAATTTTTGGTGTAACTTATCTTCCTCCATATCTCCACCCCTTAGCATTAGCTAGATTATGTGCTTATCCCATTACTTTGTGTTTCTAATAATAGATACAGGAAGCAGGAGAAGTGATAATGCTACCACTGGTGCAGGAAGGCCACCTCCTTCACAATATAATCAAACCTCACCACCACCTCCACCAGCAGCTGCTCTTCAGATGGAAAACATGGTAAGCAAGTAGCTGGAACAGAATTATATTTCCTAGTGACAAAAAATAAATTCTTTGACTGGGGCTTTTCTGAAGAGAGTACAGGTCTAAAAGGAAACCTGCAGGTGTGTTCAGACTGCATTATGAAAATAAAGTGATTGGGGCACAGCTGCTGTGGCTTGCTTTCTGTAGCTCTTTTTAAAATTTTAGTGGAATTGCATTAAATTAATGGAGACACGGTCACTACAATAAGCATAATTTACTCTCTAAGGTTCTTAATGGAAAAAAGCTGTTAAGAGGGTTGGTTTTTTTTAAAGCCTGAATTTAATATACTCTGGAAAGATGAAAAGCTGGCTTGACTTCAAACTTCTTTTTTAGGGGTGTAGCACATACAGACATTGAGGGAACTCAGCTTATTGTCAGATCATCATCTAGTAGTATGGTTGTTTTGGACCTGCCCTGGAGTCATCCTGAAAACTTTGCTGCTGTAGAACATTATCATGCTAGAGAGTAGGTTAGAACAGAGATGAGGTGCATGCCTGTCTCCTGACTTTTCATTCTAATAGTGACAAATGTTATTCACGCCATTTCTACAATTTTTATACAAATCATTTAAAATTAGACAATAAACAGTAACACTAGACATAAAAATATCTGCAAAGGCTTTACAATTAAAAGGGTAATTGGGATAGTAAAAAATCTGACTATCTAAGGAGTAAAATTGTATTTTCTAGAAGGTAATATTCTATGTAAACTCTGATTTCATTTCAGTTTTCTAGCCACCTGGCTCATGCAAGCACTCCTGAGACCAGGTTAGATTCTGATTCTCCAGTAATTGTTGCTAGCACAACATCTGGATCTGGTGTGACATCAACTCAAAAACTGGTAACATGCTAAAGTTATCCTGTTCCTTAAAATTTCTCCCTCATTCCCTTTGCTGTGCTTTGTGCTAAACTGCCCTTTTTTCTCTTCTGAATTTGACATAGTTTGCTATCAGCTGTCTGAGAAAGATGCCTTATTGTATGCACGGGAGAGCTTTTTTATTATCTGCTCTGTTATTGCTAGAAAAGATTTCCACAGTACCTTCAGCTGTCACTCAAATATGCAGTCAGGAAGTGAAGCTAAGCTATCCATGCTGCTTGATTTTTGTCAAATTAGTCTTTCCTCAGGACAGAAGTCATTTGCTTGAAATACTATCTCACAAGTGGAAAAAATGGAGTAATCCTGGTTGCAGCCAGGTGTAGAAAATTTAGTCCTGTGTAATGTAACTGGATTACCTGCAACATCACATGTTCCATTTAGTCACGTGGCAGATAAAAGTGAGCAGAAACACTAGAGCATTGTAAATATTATGTTTAGATTTTTTTACCAATTAATATTTAATTTTTTTATAGCCCATGGCAAAAATAATAACATCTGCACAACAGAAACCAGGAAGAACAATCACTGCTCGAATCACAGGCCGAGCTGATATGGGACAAAAATCCAGATCTTCTGGGAGTTTAGCAGTGATGGGAGTTTCTCCACCCATGAGTTCAGTCATTGTTGAGAAACATCATCCAGTCACTCAGGTAAATCAGATTATGCTTCTTAAAATATTTTTATTACAACATATCTAGTAATAACCTGAAGGAAAGTTATCTTGTGAAGAGGTCTAGACAAAGTTCAGACTTGAGACCTGTTGAAAACAGTAAACAGCACTTACTGTCTTTGCGTTGAAGGCATTGGTGAGGAGATGTCATGGTTTAACCCCAGGCAGCAGCCAAGCCCCACATGGCCACTCACTCACTCCCCTACCAGAGAGTTTGGGAAGAGAATCAGAAGGGTGAAAGCTGGAGAACTCATGGGCTAAGAAAAAGACAGTTTAACAGGGAAAACAAAGGCTGTGCACACAAGCAACACAAACCAAGGAAAATTAATTCAGTGCTTCCCATGAGCAGGCAGGAGTTCAGCCATCTCCAGGAGAGCCGGGCCCCACCATGCCCAGATGATTTGGTTACTTGGGAAGACAAATGTCATCTCCACAAATCCCCCTCCCTCTTTCCTGCTTCTTTCCCCCACTTTATACTCTGAGCTGGGTGCCACATGCTCTGGAATATCCCTTTGGTCAGTTGGGGTCACCTGTCCTGGCTCTGTCTCCTCCCAACCTCCCAAGCACCCCCAGTCCCCTCACCAGTGTGGCAGCACCAAAGCAGAAAAGGCCCCCATTTCCTGCCATGACTCACAGCTGTGTGGCTTGCTGCACATCACTTTGAAGAATTTGGGCTCCTAAGCAGAAATTAATATTTAAATTGTATGTTCTTAGGAGTTTAGAGATTCAATGTGGTAATTATTTCATTAATCACAATTTCTGGATTCAGATTTTTTGACAAGTGTGACAAGGAAAGCACCTGAACTGCTATAACATAAACTGACTTCTGAAAATGTAATGAATGTGACAGCCCTAGGGATATATTCTGTATACCCATTCTGCAAGTAAAAATCTGAGTCAAGTATTTGTTTTGAGTTAATTTGAAAGGGAAGATAATTTAACTTGATTAAAAGCAGAATGACTACAATGTTTATTACATTGGTGGCTAGTCTTATGGGTAGAGAATTAATTCTTGATAAAATTGCAAACCTTTTATTTTCAAAGATCTTTGAGTGACTGCCTCATAGCAAATACTTCAAAATACTATTAAATTAGCACTACAGGAGAAAATTGTGAGCACTATGGTAAAAAACTAAAACAAACCAACCTTGAAATAAGATTGAGGTGATAAAAGCTCAAGATATTTAGTTAACTGGAAATCTAGCACTTTGTATTCTAAAAATGTGTTACAGATAAGGAAGAGTAAGGTTTTTTTTTTTTCCTTTCTGTTAAATGGCCATGTATTTTTTCCTTCTTGATCAGTGTATTTCAGTTTGCGGGATTGCAGATCTTTCTTTTTAAACTGCAGCTCACCTAGAGCTATTTCAATGTGGATTTTTTGTGCCATTAAGTGTTTTGATGTGTCTGATTACTTTTCAGCAAACCATATCACAAGCCACTGCTGCTAAATATCCTCGAACTGTGCTTCATTCTTCTGTCTCTACCACTGCAAAACCTGCAGGACAAGCTGGGCGAGTGCTTCAGGGCCAAAGCTATACCAGTGTTCAATCAATAAAAGTTGTTGACTGAGTGACTACCTTTCTCACCGGTAGGGGTTTTTAATCAAGGTACCTCTTCCCAGTCTTTTTAGATTTGATGCAGTAAGGCCTAAAGTACATATCATGTTTTTTACCTTTTTCTAAAAAAAGAAGGTTTTTAAAGTAAAAGTGCTTTTATAATGAAACCTGGAGGGGAAAAAAGAACTTGAACTATTGTTCTACCTCCAAACTTTTATTTTTAAGACAAATACTTTTTATTTAAGAAATCTTTTGCACGCTTTTAAATAAAGGATACCATGCGATTTTTGTCTCAATCTCTTGTTTAATCCAAATGACATTGACATCTGTGTTCAAGAGAAAATGAAATTTATTTTTGTTACAAATACTTTTAGTTGCTTATGCAAGTAAGTGTACTTGACATGTACCTTAATTATATCCTACAACAGTGTATTTAAATGGAAAACAGCAGGGTTGCATCATCCACACTGAGGGTCCAGTTTAGGCTAGGTGAGGTACCCAGTCCATCAAATTCTTAAACATTTTCATTTTCCAAGTTTATGTTGCAGAACCTGATGAATATGTAGAGTTCCAAAGATCTGTAGTTTAGATCCCTAATTCCAAAACCTTAACTCTCTGTTCTTCATATTCCTGGGATGCTCTGCAACCGAGTCAAAGAAGGTTGCACACAAGAGGGCAGTTAGGAATTCAGACTAAGATACAGATCACCTTTTTAGTACAAACAGTAGGGTAGGATTCAGCACAAAATAATGCTAGCTATATTCAAACAGAAAAGGCAATTCCATTCCTCCATTACATGATAAAACTATTGCTACTATGTTATAAAGAAGATCATAAAGATAGACATTTACATAATTTTTCAGATATTAAATATATTCAGTAATAAGAAAACCTTTAAACATATTCAGCAGGACACTGCCAAGTATTAATTCAAGATATGAACAAGAAATAGGTAAATAATTGCTAGATTTGTTGTGTATTAAATACTGAATGCTCTTTTGGGGGTATGTATACAGTGTTTTGCCATGATAGAAAATTCTGCAGCCAGCCACACGTGGTGTTTACATGTGACATTTTTGTGTTTGTTCACTACATAAATCAAATGCTACAGTAGAGAGATTTGTCATATTCCTAGCAAGAATTTGTAAAAACCTGAATCCCGAGTGAGGCCAGATGCTAGCTTATTTCTGGAAGTGTTAATTGATTTATACACGTAATTTTCACTTATTAGATTTGATTTTTTCCATGTAGAAAACATCTTATTTACATTTCACATCAAACACAAAGTAGCTGAATTTGCAGTTCCAATACAGAATTAGTTTATGGCTGTTAGGTCAGGTGTAGAAATTGTAAGTGGTGAGTCTTGCTTAGCAGTTATAAACTGCCAGTCAGCCATTCGCTCTTAAATTTTTTATATTTGTATATAGCAAGCATTTCAGGAGTAAAAGTTTTTCTAGGGTGGAAAAAGCTGTACAGCTTCAAAATAGGTTTTTTGTTTCCCAAAAAGATATTTGAAAGCCACTTTCCATCTGGCACGTAATTCCATCATATATGCCATGTTTTGTTGATGAACTCATGAAATGACACATTTCCTGGAGTCCATGCCAATGCAAATCGAAGCTCTGATCTTCTCTGTAAAGGAAGAGAAAACACTTAATTGGTGTGCTCTGCTTTGCACAAGGTCAGACAACTGAGGGGTGGCCAGTCACAATTTATCCATGGGTGCAGAACAGATGAGGGAAGCAAAGTTTGCACATTGTCTTCCTTTAGAAACCTTAAGTCTGACATAAATGCATTTTCTCAAGCAGCCTCACCCCTCAGGAAGGGCAGTCCTAGAAAAGAAGAAAGTGTCCTCCATCCCCACCCTGGCCACAGCTCCCCAGCACGGCAGGTACCTCAGCACGGCACTGCAGTCTCGCAGAGGACACTGTAATGTGCTCTGTATCAACTTACCAGCTAAAGGCTGAAGTCCTGCTTCCACCAGATCTTCATATAGATGTTTAACAGGATTCTGATGAACCAGCAACGTACCATGTAACCAGATGAGCAACATTCTGTTTCCATGTTCCTTGTAACTTTTTTTCCCTGTCCAATACACAAAGTATTTGTTCAATATGCTGGAAACGGTGTATTTTGTGGTTTTGCACTTTAAAAGTTCCAAGAGGTTTTAAACTTACTTTATTTACTCTTACTACCTTTCTCAACTAGCAAAAAAATGAAGACTAAAGCTTACAAAAGTTTTTTTAAAAATTCTGAAAAGTTTTCTAAAAACCTTGTTTTATCCTAACACTGCTGTTAAGGCATAAAAAACACCTAACATCTAATTTTAACACCTAAGTCTTAAAATTAATTTTTCCTTTAATTTTTCCCCAAGGTGTGGAAATATTCCCTGGAGTAGTAGTAACAAGTACAATATGTTCTGTCGAAATACTGTTTTCCCAGCACTTGAGAGGCCTGAAACCAGAAACTCCTGTTTCATGGCAGCTGTGCAGACAGAGCATGAGCAAAATCACTCTGTGCCATGAGGTTCCCCAGGTCCTCACTTGCAGGATGACCCCCCCAAGACTAATATGATGCTCATGGCTTCTAGTTTTGATCTCCAAAGAAGCTTCCTTCAGGCTAAGAGGGAGAGCAGAAGTGTCCTGTACTGCTACAGCACTGCTTCCCAGGAACCAGGGACAAGATTTGTATCTCTTCACTATGGGATACTCACATAGTTTAAAAAGCAACACTGCCTTGTGGAGTTTTTTTATCCTGTGTATTTATGTCTGGCCATTCAGATATTGTTACCTGTCCACTGTTCTTCAATAGCTTTAATTTGTTCATCAGTGAACTTCCAGAACACAGCCAGTTTTTTCCATTCACGGGGTTTTAACTGGTTATATGCTAAATTCCAAAGGGAGGAACGGATTTGCTTGGTCTGTGTACTGTGATCTTGTTTGAAGGACACGCTGAAGTCTGACCCATTACCACTATGGGCTAGATGTGTCTGAAAAACAAAGTAGATGGTAAATTTTATAACAGAGCTAGGAAACTTTGCTCAGTGAGCAGTGTCCTGTTCAGATATAGCTGCTGACAGATGATATGCTCAATGCCTGTAAAGGAACTGTGTATGGCTCATAGAAACAGAACTGAAACAGAGTTCCAGTGTCTGTTGCTATGTATTACTAAATTAAATGCAAAACAAGGTGCCTTCTCTGGTAGTTGATACACAAAAGCAAAGTAACAGTAACTGTTGTGCCAGCACTGCTGTGCTACTTGGCTCTGTATGTCCTGTTTAGAACGCATCTGGGTTTCAGGCAGAGTTCTTACCCTTTTCACCATGGGCACAGCACCTGCTCAACCTGTTCCTGCCTCTGCCCTGTCAGCTTCACTTGGCTGAAGTGGGAACTTCCAGATCCTTTGCTGGCATTAGGTTTATCATAGGGACTCTCATTCTGCAAAGGTCTAAACACCAATGTGCACATATGTGTTGAGCATGGATCTAGTTTCATTCCTTCACAAGTAAAATCACAGAAACCAAAATCACATGGATTTTACCTTCCAGATTAAAAGTGATGTTGCTGTTGTATGCGTAGCTCACCAGAAACAGGAATAATGGGGTTACCTCTCGTTTGGGCATCTTGGCAAAAACCATGTCAATCAGTGATTTCAGTCCTAGCTGAGCTGTGTCCAGGGACATTCCTAGGTAGGCAAGGTCCAGCTAATTTCTATATTTCATTAGGTTTATGTACTAGTCCTGTTTCAAATCTTCAAAGGGAAAAAATTTCTTTCCAAATTTGATAGAAGGTGACAAAGCAGATACTACGCAAAAAAGGAAATGGCAGTAGGCCACAATTTAAAAATGCTAAGCATAAAGTGCTTCATTCCAAATTAAATTCAGAAGAATAGAGCAGGATTATTTACTAACCTTACAAGAGACTTACAGAGAAAAAAGGTCACAATTCAGTAACTAAGCATTGACATGTATGTTTGATTCTATTCATTTGATACAGACTTTATTTCATGCTTCCAGACACATGCAAAGTAAAGTTTAGGACATTCTACAGGACAGCTTCACGGTTTCTCTGATTAGATCCTTTATTTGTGATGTTTAATTAAAAAAAAAAAAAATAGCCACAGGAAAAAAAAAACTCAAGCAAACAAAAGAAACTATTGCAGCAGCACAGCTTCTCGTTGCTGCTAAGTGTGTTTTGAGTCAATGGCAAGGTGGGATAGTAACAGCTGCCCTCAAATCCACTTAACCCAGCCTGGACTATGATAGGGAAGGGTTGGGTCAAAGTGATAAATAGAAAAAAGAAACAGAGAGATGACACTCACACTTCAGTATCATGTGCCCTTCCTCTCAGCTTCATGACATTTCCTTTTGTAACTACTGCTTTATCACAAATGATAAGTCAGCTGAATGTAACAAAAAGACAGTCCTTAAAACAATGGTTCAAAAAGCTGTAGTTCCCTGTATGGTAACATCACCTATTGAATAGCCGTATCATATTCCATAGCCATAAGATTTAAGTTGTTCCAATGGCTGCACTCTCAGCTTCAGGCAACAGGATACAAACACTTATGTTTATATTTCCCAGCTTCTCTGGTGCTTCTGCAGAAAACCATCTGCTTAACGCTTTTCAGAAAATTCAGTGAACAATGCCAAGAGGTTGAGAACATTATGGGCTTACTGCTGTCAGACTTGTCATGACTTCTGTGGCAACAGACTACTTCTAATTCCTCCTTAAGCCAAAAGAAACAATAATGTACCTCACAATTCCAGCCGAACTGGTGCAAATCAAATGCACAACACAGAGTGTTCCTGGAGGCATTTTTTGCAATAATTAATCTAGATCTGTGATTTGGCAGCCCTGTAACATAAAGTGTTGTATATTTGGCCACTCAGCGCAGGAGTGGGGTGGTAAAACTGGTAATTCCTGTACCTGCTCTGGGACAGGATCAGTATGCTTATATATTTGGCTAACTCAGCAGGAAGCAGGAGTGAGAAGAAAGTCACAAACTGATATGGCAGTTACTTTTAGCCCTTTAGAGAAGCCCATCACTATGCAAGTGTACATTTAAGTAACAACTGGGGAGAGGTGAGAAATTCAGATCACCTAAGCCATGTCCTTCACACTTGTTGCAAAGTTCTTTTCCATCTCATAGATTTAATTTTATAATTAACACACAAGGAACAGAAGAGGGAGCTCTTATTGAGGAAGCTGTGCTCTTGCTAGCAAAGGAGTCACAGACATCTTCACTCTGTTATTTTTTAACCACAGATTTTACTATACCAAAGTGTCCAGGAATCAACGTGGATCCATGTTATCCCAGCCATGATGCTGATGGCACAGTTTGGATTTGGCTTAGAATCTCTCTCCATCCCTTTATGTGAAGAGCATAAGGCAGGAAAATGGCAAGGTCTTCTTACAGTTTTACAGCTAGTCAGGAATAAAACCTGGATGGGCTAGAGACTTTCCCATTCCCAATCCTAACTTTAGTTCATCAAGGCCAGTCTTGCTGCTTGCCAAAAGAAACCACCTCAGCCAAAAGGCACTTCAAAATCAGAACTGGCTTTTCCCTTAGGTATCCTGTGTTTAATGAAAGATCCTCTTACCTGTTTCATGGCAAAATACCTTTCTGCTTTAATGATCATATCTACAATGAGGGCATGATGGCTCCTTGATGCTGTGGCTAATGCAGTTTTTCCATGCTGAAAGCAGAGACAGTGAATCAGAATATTAGCTTGCATAAGTGTGTCATGGAAGAAACACAGGGACTGCTCACAGAGCCCCATCCCTTTTTCCTTTTTTTTCTTTTTTTCAGGAAAAGATATTTACTACAATCTTATGCTTTTGGGTAGCTACAATTCAAGTTCTGTGCTCTGCATAAGCTGTATTCCCTCAGCCAGAGGTGGTCAATTTTCTCCCTCACTAAACTCCCCAGTAAAAAATTCTAGAGAGGTACAGCTGCTTTCAGAAACCTGCACTCAGTCTGCTGCATACTTCATACCTACCAGATTTCAGGCTTCAGTAACTGCATCCATGTTTAAACTACCACAACTACAGTCCATTCTCATGCTATGGTTAAACTGGCATTTCAGATGGATAGGCTGGCAAAGTTGGAAATCTCCAGCCTAAAGGGCAAACCTGTGCCTTGTTTTGGACAGTAAGAAAAGGTGGCTCACAGAATGAAAATTACAGCTCATTACAGCTGAAAAGAACACAACTATAGGATCATGCTTCATGGATGTAGAAAGGGTCACAGTTATTAAAAGCCATGCTGTAATTCCAGCTGTAGAGGTTTGCTCAGTCTACCTGAACCCATCTCTCCTATCAGCATTTCGATGCACAGACAACATGGTGGCTCAAAAGAGATTTCTCTGCAACTGTCTATTTTCAGCAGATCTGCACTGAGTGCAACTGCCTTGGATTTAAATAGGGTGTTGTCCATATAACATGTGCTAGGCATTTCTAGAAAAGTAGATCTAAAAGAAGCCAATCCCTTAATTAGGAGGTTCATTAATTAAATTATAAGGTATTTCAACTCTCCAGATAGTATAAAGTTCCCTAATATACACCTTTTGAGTTCTAGCTTCTGTCTCTGCTCAAGATCATTCTAATTAACCTGTTTTTAGAAGAGCATCACATTGGAAGCCAAGGAACATACATTTCATTAAATCTTTTAGGTATAGGAGTATTATATATGTGAAGAGTCCAGTGACCACAAGAGGTCCTTGGGCTCACCTTTGGAGAGGTGCTCTGCCTTTCACAGAGGGAGAGAGAGGCAGTGGATAAGGGGGGTATTTCTGTATCCTTGTGCTCGTGCAGACACTGCTGGCATCCTGCATGCACATGTAGCACAGCAGTCTTGCACATAGGGAGTTCTCTGCATGCTATCACTCACAACCAAAGGCAGTTTTATCTGCAGATGAGATGAAGGAAGAGCTCCCCAGAGTGCATTTCCTGACCTCTGACAGGAGCAGATGCATGGCATTCTCTGGAGACCAAGTACTCCTGATGCCAGGGAAGGGAGGCCAGAAAAATACTGTGCAATCAAAGCAGGCTCCCCTTCTTCCTATCTACTATTCAGCAAGGATAACAACTTTTTTGGCATCTCAGCACCAAGTCAGTTCAAAGGGCACTGTACATGCATATGTTCCCAGCAGTGGCATGGTCTCAGGGTCATCCAGCAAACAGGCAAGGAAAAAGCTACTCTATGAAATAAAACCAATGCAGAAAGGTGAATTGTACCAGAACTTGTACTGGCTCAGAGCCAAATTCTCATAGCAAGTCCTGAGCTCTAACAGTGTTGCCGTAACACCAGGGCACTATCTCGCCCAACGACTTGCAGATGCTTAAGGTCATAGGCGATAAGTAATTGTTTGTCTCTGTCTTTGGAATACAAATAGGTCAAAACAATTTCCTACTGGGTAAAGTGTTTAAAGTGGACAAGATTTCATTCTAGGTTGATCCCAATGAGAACTGCAGCCCTTTGGCAAGTGTAGATGATTCTAAATGGAAAGGCTTAACTACAATGCAGCATCTTACCTCAGCATCCCAAAACATACCAACCATGCAACTCACACTCAGAGCCCCAGGCCTCATGTCAGGCTAGGCCAAAACATGACAATCCTAATCCATAAATCTTCACTTCTCATCAGGACAGTTTTGTGCAGGAAAGTTACTTTTTAAAGGGCAAGATGTAGGTCTTAATAAACATCAAATCCATCAACTCAGTCATACTGAATCTCAAGAAAAGTGGTAACAGTGTAAAAGGGAACACTCAATCTTGCAGTAATCTAGCAAGATTTGTTAACATTTGGTTTGGTACTCTGTCCTTTCAGTAGCACTTCCCCAGCAACTTTGCTTTGGTACTTCTTCCAGCCATTGTCATTTTTGCCTCTATCTTTCCAGGCAGAACATCATCTCAGGATTTAAGTATCCACCTGAATGGATCTAGAATGTCACCATGATTCTCAGATGACCTGGAGTGCTAGAGAGCAAACTGTCCCTCACTGCACCTGGTGAAGCTGCATCTCTCTTGGCAATGAACCTGGCTGCAGGTGTGCTGTACAAGCAGCCTCAGGCCAATTTCCTCTCTGCTAGCCTAGATCTTTTTTCCATGAATGATCTCTGGAAGCAGTGTTTATCCTTCAAACCACAGAGCTTGGGGGTTTTACAGATCTTTACCAAAACCTTGTCAGATCTCTTCAAGCTGCAGGTATAGCAATATTAAAAGAAGGCTTCCTTTGTAGTTAGCTTTACTTAGCGAACAAAACTGGCAACACGTGCTTTATGCACCTCTGTAAGGAAGATTCTAAAACAAAAAATCATGTGATCCTTACATGTGTGAGGAACGCAATTTACCTTATCCATGACCTTGAGATTGCAGCCTGACTTCAGCAGCATTTCCACCAATTCCACATTGCCAAGATCAGCTGCCAGATGTAGAGGGGTTTCCTGCCTCTTCAATTAAAGACACCAAATAAATGGATTAAGTCAAACTTACTCCTAGAAGCAGCATGCTCACAGGCTGAATCTAAAATAGATTCACAACAAGAGGCAACCTTGGTGAGAAAATACTGAACAGAGGGAAATCATTTAACTTTTGAGTGATCTGCTGGTTTTGCTTCAGGCAGACAAGACAGCATACGGGATCTCTGCAGGGAAAACCACACGGAAGTTCCAGCTGGCTCAGGAAAGAGTCACTGTTATGCCCCTCTAAAGTACTGTAAACTAACAAGCTTGCTCTCTCTCTTCTCTCTTAAAGCAAGGTGCTTTGGACACAGGGCTTCATTTGTCTGGCAACCCACACCCGTATCATCTTCTCAAGTAACCTTTACCCAGCAGGTAACATGCCAAGACAACTGGATATCCACTGTTTTCAACTCTACATTATACCACATCCATAGCAGAGCTTTTTAGTCATCCCTGCCACAAAGTGATGATACTTTGCAGAAGTCTACCTGCTCCATAACGGGTTCAGTGAACCTGAAACACATACAAAAAAACCCAAAACTAAACCATTAAACCAGGCCAAACCATTAACAAGAAATACAGCTAAAATGGCAGTCGGTTCAAGTAAATCTTTGAGTCTGAAAGGAGCATTGTATAATCTCCACATAGCTACATATACCCAAATATGTATTTATTTATTCTTTTACAGATATTAGAGTAAGAAAATCCAGACATCTGTGCATAAAATGCAGCAGCAGACTATGGAGTAATTGTGGAAGCCCTGTATGCTGTAGTATATTTCTTGGGACACATTATCCTTCCATTATTCACATTATGTTGAATGTTTTGTGCCTGTGCTTCTCTGATGTTGCACGTTTACATTCTGTAAGTCTGGTTAGAAAAGTTCTTTGGCCTTTAGATCTTAATTAAAGGTTTGCACACTAAGAAACACCAGGCTCAGGATTCCACATTAAAAGTCTCATCAGTTAATTCTACAGTTTACACTATGATCACACAACCTCATGTATTTACCTTATCTTTTATTCCCATAAATAGAAAGTATTTTTTTATTCATACACCCTACTTTCTTTCCTGCAGAAATTTAAGGGTACATCAGTACCTGCTGTAGGGCAACTTCAGGCAAGCTAGAGACAAAGTGCAAAGTATTTCTAAAATATATGTTGTAAAAATTTACAGAAATCTCTATTTTATGTGACCAGAAAGTCTTGTCATTATACTTTACTCCAACCACAAATGACAGCCTCTGTCTTCCACAAAAATGTGTATAAATTAATCTCTAGCAATAAAATGAGCAATGGGAAGGGATGAGCCACAGATTTCTCAAAGACTTATCCTTCTTGCTTCTTGCTCCACATGTCATGAGGGAGACCAGGCTGCATTTCCCCATCAGGGAGCCACAGTGGCCCAAATGGGACTCGACAGGCCTGCTGAGTCAGTCCTTCCACAGCTGAGATGTAGGGCTGATGGGGAGGGGGAAGAGAAATTCTCCTTGAAGTGCCACAGATGGCAGGCCAGTCTGCATATAGTTGGACCACTGGAGTCTGTTATGGTCAGGGGCTGATGCATGCAAGCTCTGTACAGAGCAGAAGATCCATGAGCACTGGATGTCATTGAGAGTTTTGAAGGCCTAATTGTTGGCCAGGTCACTGTAGTCCATCTCTACCACCACTCCCTCAGGCACTGGATACCTTCTGTGGTAGTTTACTTGTTTGCAGTATCTTCTTTGTTGAGACACTTTCCATTCATGCTCAGTAAGAGCCATCTCCAGAGATTTACAAGTGGCTGCTTCTGTTATGATCCCTTTGTTAATCCCTTAGTCCCTAGAAGTGGACCCCAGCAGCTGGGCTCCCCTACCTTCCCCACACTGGAGCAGTCAGGTAGCAGTGTGTTTGTCTTGGTGACAGATGAATACTTGCTGCTTACCTAAGAGGTCATTCAGAGATAGACACAAGGTAGTTTTGCCTCTGCTGTCATTCTTGTCTTTTTCCTTTCCTGTCCAGGACAGGCCAGGCTGTCTCTTTTGAACCTTCCCTCTTTTGCCTCTCAGCAGGAGCTGCTGTTTCTCTTTCTAACCAAATCAATAAAATCAATATCTACTTCCATAATCTCACCTTGAGTTCTGGCACAATTTTTATATTTGAGGCCTGGGTCTCTGGTTAAAAACAAAGGTGTGACACCTCCAACTATGTGAGTTTCAGCATCCATATGGTGGCTTCAGAGCTTCTCAGTGTCCCTTTGTGTGCTCCTTGATCAGGAAATCCTCATTCTCTTTTGAGGGCACTGGATGGCATCTCGGTAGGCAAGGGCCAGAACCAACACAGCATTGGAAATCCCTGTATTTCATCAGGGCGGGCAAGGGTCCCCTCATTCAGATGGTGTATGAATTACGTAGGACTACATTCCTGCTAAGGCATGAAATCCTAAACCATTGGAGGCAGTAAGAGCCTCAGGCAAGTGCCCAATTCCTTCCACACCATGCCACCTGAGAATCGACTGCCTCTGGGCAAATCCCTGTGTGGCATTCCCAATTAGTTGCTAATTGTTACTCATAACAATGAAAACCATGTTCACAACACACACTAGTATGGTGTCTCAGGCTGCAATACAGGATGTGACCAAAAGTGTGTAGTCTATCGCCATCTGATAAAACCAGGTGGGGCAATCATCTTTATCTTTTCCACCACCCATCCTTCCTCCAAGAAGATATCTTCTGTTAATGGGCCATTGAGTCCCACTGTATGACTGATAAAATTACATCATCCCATTATGAGATGCTCCAGCCAGGGGGAGGAGCCAAACATTTCCTACCTAGATAAAAACTGAGATCTGGAACACCAAGGCAGCCTTTTTCCACTGGATCCCAGAGGAAAACCAGACCTTTCCACATCATCACTGGACCTTTGGAGGAAAACTGCACCCTTCTACAGGACCACTGCTTCAGCTGAACTACATCTGTCATGCAGGAGGACTGCAGCCACCATTTAATGGGACTGCTACCAACACCCTGACTGATGGGGTGTCAGGTTGTATTCTGACTCTGTCAGTGTTTTGGGTTTGTAATACTGTATTTCTATTTTAATTTTCCTAGTAAAGAACTGTTATTCCTATTCCCATGTCTTTGCCTGAGAGCCTCTTAACTTCAAAATTACAATAATTTGGAGGAAGGAGGTATACACTCTTCATTTCAAAGAGAGGCTCCTGCCTTTCTTAGCAGACACCTGTCTTTCAAGCCAAGACATACAGACAGTGTGATTACACAAGGATATTCAAGGAACTGAGTAATGTTACAAGAAGGTGGGAGAGACCTATCATGTGGGAGGAGAAGGGGCAAATGGTATTAATTCCATGCATTCAACATAGCGCCTCTCCAAGGGGGGAAAGGAAAAGGTGTAGTTGTTGATTTTCTCCACGAGATGGTCACCTGAGTACACAGAGAGTGGCATTGTAAGTGGCAAAAACACCACATCAGGCACAAGCCAGTGCTGTTATCATTGGTCTACCAGGCAAAGCAATACAAAGTGATACACAACAGAACGAAAGCAGAAACGGACATCAACAATTATAGGAGGTTTTGTACAGCAAAAAAGAGATCAAGCATGACAGCACCAAAGTAAGTAAGGCACACGTTAATGGTGGATATGATCTACAGTGAACTGATCTGATCTGGCCAACAACTAACCAGTCCTCCAAAGACCACTGACACCAAGCAGGGTGAAAGTAGCCTGGTTAAGGCAAGAAGGACAGCTGTAGCTGCCTGTGGATGGGCTCAGACCAGCATTCTTTCAGTTAACAGATGAGCGCTGCTCACTGATTGCATCACAGAGACCTGTGACCTTGTCATTCAGTGCTGCTGTGTTGCTCAGCTCCACTCAGCTCTGTTCCCTCCCAGCTCCCTGAGCACCCCAGTCGATAAACATGGGCGCACAGAGTGTGAAACAAAGGCCTTGAGGCTGCACAAGGATTGCTCAGCAACAGCTTTAACAGCATCGTTTTACCAGCACTGTGTTGGTCACAGATCTAAAACACTGCATGCAGTGGGTTTCTTCAAGGAAAAATTAACTTCTTTCCAGCCAAATGACATTCTGCACTGGGCTGCCCTGTGAAGCCAGTACCAATGAGACATTTCTGTCATTTATTACACATGAGCCATAACACTTGAGCAAGGCATTGCCTGATCATTTTCTGAGTATACAGCATTGTGCTATCCTTTTCTTGCTCAAAAAATATTAGCACAGCATGTACCAGTGACTAATACATAAGTACACACACAAAAATATTCAGAGGGAACTGCCTCTTCCTTCCTTTTTTTTTGTACCCTGAGCTCATAAGCAAAAGAAAATTCAAGCAAAACCCACAGAATCTCCCCTTTGCCAATAAATTGTGTAAAATCCCAGCTTTTCTTACGTGATTTAAGGAGTTTATGTCGTGATTGGCATCCAAAAGGCTTTTTACTACCGGTAGATTATTACTGATAATGGCTAAATGGAGAGGGGAATTCTTCTGCTGTGGAGGGAAAATAATAAGTTGTTATACTTGGGTCTATTATTACAAGCTTATGCAAACAAGAAAGAGGTGCTTATTGATGCCTGCCCCTTGCAAAGGTGACATGCTCTAGCAGAAGTTCAAGACTGCAGAAAACACACCTGGATGTGTGGAGTTACACCAGAGGTGGGAGCCTGCTCCTGCAACACCCATATAAGCAGGTAAACAAATACAGCTGAGGAAATGCTGAGTGCATGGGGTGTGCATCAGTGTGCCACCACTTAGGAGTGCGGCCAGGCACTCCTCTTAAGTGTTCCTGCCTGGGATGTGCTGCTATCCTGACAACAGAGAGATTAGGGTAATGTTCCTGCTCCCTCAGAAAAGTGGCTTCACCCTTTGTTGAATAGCCTGGAGACAGACTCATTCTGTATTCGGTAAACTGATGTCGAAATCTACTTTCCAGGAACAAACCCTTGTCACATGTTGCTGCTGGATATGCTCTTCATACTAAAGTGACTTGCTATTATTAAAACATGTGACAAATTACAGCTGGTAAGACAGAGGTTTTATTTGAGTGATTATTTGCTAATATACCCAGGGCACAGATGCAACACCAGTCAAAATCCACACTATGTTGAACCTGTGACGGACCAGTTTCCTGTAAAATACAGCTAAGAATAACTCCATACCAGTTAGTTGCTTCTGCTACAGAAAGTTAATGAGAAGTAGCACAACAACTGCCTGACCTTTAAATCATTTCAAGCACATCATAAATTGTTATTCCTTGATAGGTTTCTGCAAGAGGCCAGTGATCATGGCATAAATCATGAGATCCAGAATTTATTTTCATCCTGTACTGTAGAAGTGGAAAATAATTTCCTATTAATAGAAAATCTCAAATATGTGTAATAACTAAACAGAGAGAGGATTTGGATAATATAAATACCTCTTTCTTTTTAAATTTAAAAGAATGTTGGCATGCAGATTTTGAAGGCACTGAGGATGCATTTACCTGCAGAGGGTGAAAACACTGAAGTATTTATCTACATTTTAATTATCTTTATTCAAAATCATTTTGCCTCTTTGCCCATAGCATTACTCCTGCTAAGTTCAAGCAGGGCACTTTGCTCTTCTTCTCTGAATGCCTGGCTCTTGGTTTAGCCTGGCCGTGTCTACTCTGCACTGCACCAGCCTGCTCAGGCACTCACAGAACCTTGTCTCTATTGGTGTGTGTGTGTTGCTAACCAACATCTAGAAACCAAGTAATAATGTGTAGGAAAAAATTCAAGGAACTACTCAATCTCACTCAGTGATCTGAATTCCCATGAAAAGACAGGACAAGCTGAGCAGCAGCAGAAGAGTTATTCTGATAAACACTCACCTCAGGTTTAGCAACCAGGTCAATATTCTTATCAATAAGAAAAGTAACCAAGGATAGATGTCCATTCTGAATTGCAACCTGCAAAGCATTGCTATTGTTCTGGAAGAAATTTGATAGGAAACGTTACATTTTTATTGATGAAAAAACAGTATTAAAGAGAGGAATAAATATAGGACAATCTTGCATTTAAATTTGTCTTAGTATCCCCTCCACCAATAAAATATTTTGACAAAATGATGCAAAACAAAGCAGATCAGCAGTTAGCATGATGGTTTTGTCAACAGTAAAGGAAATGCCCATTTTTCATAAATCACAACAAACATACTAAAGAACACCAGTATCCTTTAGCTCCACCCAACTTCTAAAAGAGAGACAGATCAGCAGCATCATCTATACTGTGTCATGGACAACAACAATGCCAAGATGTCTTCCTACTCTTAGTTAGTCTTAGACCCTTACCAAGCAAGTACAATCACATTAACATGTAAATCCAGTAAATAGGATGGTTTAAAAATCAATAGAAAACTAAATATAAATAAAATAATGGAAAACAAACTTTTAAAATTAATTTTTACAAAATAATTCTGCTTAAACAAACAAGTTCTCTTTCTGCTGGAGTCATAAACTTCTTGCAGCAGGCTAGCCAAGGCCATTCAGCAGATATGAGTTGGACTACAGCTCAGATATCAGATGTAGAGAACAAGTTTGTTATCAAACCAGTCACATACACTGCCAAAAAGGAGGATTTTCAGTTATCTTAGTTGGTTACATTTTCTAGGCATATGTTGTAGTAGTGGGCATACAGGAAACAAAAAGCTCCACCACAGTACTCCATCAAATAAGACTAATGTTGCTTTTCTTCTACATTGGTTTTATTCTGATAGTACTCTCTACATTCCCCATTCTATTTTCCCCCTTGTTTCATAAAATAAAGCAGAGCAAATATCCTTTATTAGTAAGGTCCTTTCCACAGTATGTCCCACTAAGAGGGATACTGTGTACATACCTGAGTTGAAACATTGATGTCACTCCCTGCCTCCAGTAAGAGTTCAGCACATTTTTCATGACCTCCTTCAACAGCCAAGTAAAATGGAGTTTCTCCATTCTAGAGCAAGAGACAAAATGTCTGTTCCAATTTAAGCCGTGGGACTACAATACCAGGACACAAAAGACCTACAGTAGGCTGCATCGGGCTCATCCAACTCTTGAATGCCATGGCTACTCACCAACAGTTAAGCAACAGATTGTTTATCTGGACAGATGTATATAGTAAGGTTTGCAACACAGAAAACTATTTCATTAGTATTAATCATGCTCTTTTTGGCGGGCAGCAATTGTTGCCATTCTATACCAGGCACCACCACTAATATGCTACTACAGTTATTCCAATTTCTGTCAGTACAATGCCATGAATTTCTGACAAATTCACAACCCCAAGTGCTAGTTATAAGGAAAGCTTTGAGCAGAAAAGTCCTGTTTCATACTTATTTCAAATCTTTTCACACTGAAGGAGTCTCCATGTCTCTACCGCAAGTCCATAACATGGGATACATCAGCTACACAATGATCTAATTCCTGCTCCTCAACATCTAAAATACACAAAGGTTTAATGGAAGCTACTCTAGTGTTTCAACAATCACAAAGGAATCAATAAATCCTAATTTTTCTTTGCTTAAAATCCTGACATTATTCTGGTAAACCTAATACATTTTAGTACATTGCTCACACTATGGGAAGAGAGATCTGTTCATACCCAGACCACAACATCTTCAGCTGGATGGGAAGGTCACACGATTAGCCATGCAAAGGCAGGGGCACAAGCAGCACAGGTTTTGTGTTTGCAGAAGCAACATTCTTAGAGGAGCCCTGGAAACACTCGGGCTCCACATTTCGAAGAGGCTCGTGTGCCTCACAAGAGGTACAGCTGAAAATAGCAGACAAGTTGGATAAGAGGGAACTTCTTAACTCATCAGTCTGCCACTGATAAAGGAAGAGGAGGGCCTTGGATAGGAGTTACTAATTTTGCCCACTGGCCCAGCAGAACAAACCATCAGCCATATGGCAGGTTCCTACAGTGGGCATGCCAGCCCACAACAAAGGAAATTACCTTGCCGAGGTTGTTCCAGCTGCCCCATAGAAGAAACAGAAAAGACATTAACCCTTTGCAAAGCAAGAATGCTGAGATGAGCAGTTAGTGTGCATTTCCTTCTTCCACTCCTTGTTTAAGCCTTAAAATGAAGCTCAGGAGTGCATTAACTCAGGGATACAGCCTTCCCAGTTAATAAGCAATTGATGAATAAGCTGGCTGAGCTCATCAACACTAACCCAGGAAAGCAAACTGGGTAGGCAGTGTCTGCAGCCAGTTTTGTGCTACTGAGTTCAGATGGACAAGGTACAAACCTGAGACCCCCTCTGCTGAGGTGCCTGTGATGGTATGTGCTTGGTATGCAAGTCAAACTGGCTCAATGAATAGGCTGAAAAGCACCAGAAGTGCTTAAAAGTGAGATGTTAGAAGGAATGGGATCACATGACTAAAAATGATGGATAACAGAAAGCAAGGGAGGTTTAGCCTTCCTTCCTCTGTTCTCTTCTGCCAGTAGTTACGCAAGGGCTTGCCAAATGCAGGAGAGGATGTGTGTAAGGATAGAGGACAGAGGAAGACACTGAGGGAGTAACTGAGTAAGTTATTAAACAGGATGTTTCCTTGTTAAAAAAAAAAAAGTTAAAGTTACTAGGAAACCTAGCAAGACAACTGAAGTCTCCTCAGTGCCACATCTCTTCCTGTGAAATTTGATTTTTTAGAAAATTTTTCAAACCTCTAACTGTATTTCTTTCAACAGTTTAGTATACTTACCTGATTGAGGTCATTTATTTCTTCCCATTGTTCAAGAAGAATTTCTACAACTTCACTGTGACCATTTTTGGCTGCTAAATGCAATGCTGTGTTTCCCACCTTGAAATTAAAATGTCAAATAACGTATTTTAAAACCCAGAAAAAAGACATTAACTAAAACCAACACAAAACCCTTGGTCTTTTACATTTAACCTCTCTTACACACGGAGGGGGAAGCAGCTACACACAGCATGTGCCAAGATTCAATCTAATGCTGCTGATCCAGTTGGTTGTCTGAAAACTTCAGTGTTTACCAGCAAAAAGATCTGAAATTCTAGCTCCTTACAAATGAATCAGAGGAAAACTTCAGATACTGGCTCCCACAAAGATAGGTACTACACTGAGCCCCCGAGGCCACCGATTTAAAGAGCCAAAAAAAAAAGCCTATGTCAGCGTATTGAAATTTGTCATGGCTTTGATATCAAAATTGCAATCTTTGATCTCTGTCATGGTTGGTGCAATTTCTTTCCAGGAAATAAAGAAATACAAAACAGAAACAAAACCAAAATCAAATAACACACCACTAAGCAAATAAAAGCAAAGAACAACTTCAGGCAGAGCAGCAGATTTTGAACTAAAAGAAAACGCAAGCAGACAAAATAGTATAAAAATGGCTAAAAAACAATTAGAAGAATTCTAACTCTCAGAAAAAAGAGAGTCCAGAACACTTATTCATTCATAACATTGAGTGGGAAGATGTGGGAATCCTTTTTACCGTTGATGGTTACAGTGACTGAGTTTGGTGAGCCAGGAATTTAGTTTCTGTCCTGGCTTCTAACCTAATTTTGCAGGACCACAGTGTTTACCTCCTGGTGCTGTTGACACCTTTAACCTGCTAGGTGTCTGTGACAATACTGTCTTTCAACCTCTGCTGACAAACTGCTTAGTACAGCAGAGCTCTGGGTGGCACTGCAGCTTTTAAACTACTACCAGAAATACCAACAAAACCAACATCACCTCCTGAGTACTTACTTATGTGGTTCAGTAAATGCAGCACCTGACAATTTCACAATTTTAAATGTATTTGTCCTTGCAGTGCCTCAGATGCAGAGAAATATTAACTTGCTCATTCCATAAATAGTCAAGTAAGGAACAATAAATTCAAGAGCAGACTTTGAAAATTACTAAGATGGCTTAAAATGCAGTGTCAAAGCAAACTCAATCAGATTGAAGTGTTAAGGCACTGCTGAAAAAGAATTTTTAGGTGTTTATTTGAATCCTGAAACTTTTAAACACCTTTGAAAAATTGGTCACACAGATGAACAGAGTAAAACACTGGGAAATGCAACCTCCAGAACAGAGACTGACACCATTATGAACAGGCTTTCCCACTTCTCTCAACAGAAAACATATGCTAGCCTTGCTTTTCATAAATTATGAATGTGTATGGAAAAGTCTCCCAGCAATCATTCTGCTGCCTTCCCTTTATCACTTAAAAATCATCATCCTTTATATTTGTTGGTCCCATATATCACCGTAACATCTATGCAGCACACTCAGATATTCGATTGTATAATATACACAGTGAAAGAAAATAGTCTTATAAGCACATTTGTAGTTGTACTTCTGTAGAAAATAAACATTTACCTCATCTTTTTCAGACGTAAATAGCTTCAGAGCAATCAAACTTTTTATCATGTCAACATGGCCTTTTTCAGAGGCCAAAAGAAATGGCTTTCTACCCTTCTAGAAAACAATTATGGAGAGAAACATAGTATTACAGAAAGTAAAAATATTTTACTTCTAGTTACTAGAAATATAGCATGCATATGTATACGTGTATCCTACATTAAAATTTATATATTAATACAATAATAGATTATAGATGTGTATTAATACAATATTAATACAATAGTTGATACATAGAAGAGCAGTAATTTAAAATATATATTTAGTGTATAAAAACAGATTATACATCTTGCATATCCTGAATAAAAAATATAAAAACTGTTTAGAAATGGTTAAAAAGTGGAAAATGCATTCAGAATCTTTTAATCCTTATTTTTTTATATCCTAATCTTATTTTTATAATCTTATTTTATATCCTAATCTTTATTTTTTTTCACTATGAAAATATTTATCAAAAGAACTGTCTGAGAATGCTCAAAAACAGGCAGCAAAGAAATTATTTCCATAAGTTAATTTGTTTGATCCAAATTCTGGAAACAGAGACCAGAATGGCATATCTCAGAAGTTTCATCCAGGAGGCCTGAATTTAGCACTGTACATTGTAGAGGGTTTTGGTAGTATTGAAACTAAAAATACTTTCCAAACCACTTACAAACTCAGCTGCAGAAAGTTATCTTGACACAAAACTATACTACTCTTCAGACAGTAAGATATATAAACAGCTAGGTAAAATGGCTTCGTATCATGCCTGATAGTGCCTATAGAAAAGTCTAAGGAAAAAATGCACACACCTCGTAGAGAATTATGGTGCAACCTCAACAGGTGGTTGAGAAGGTGCTTCCTCACCTTTCCTTTCCAAAGGCCTAAACCTTCAAAGGTATTTTCTCTTAAATTAACTCTGTTTAGTCAGACTTGTCATTTGTAAAAAGGATTCAGAATTTTGCACACTTAGGTCAATAAAATCCAAGAAATGCAGAAAAAATATGGGAGATTTGTTCTTTAGGTGTCAGCTCTCACAGGAATAAGTTTTCTTATCTGACTTAGCCACACAGCATTTCAAAACAAGATCCCAACACTTAGAAATTAAAAATAAAAACAGAGAAAACCTGATGAGGACAAGGCACTGTTGGAGAGTCAGTGCACCTCTGTAGGATGGCTGCACATAGTTCTATGCTCTACTTTGATGAAACATGGCCAGGCTGGCCATAATTGGCAGATTTTGGTAAGGGCAGGGGTCTGTGAAGGTGAGCTGTGTAGGAAATGTCAGAGGCTGCCCTGTGCTGGTCACAGACACTTCCAGCTGGCTCCACTGTGGACCAAACTGTCCCACAGTGTGCCAACATTTAACCCACCATAGAACAAAACGATGCCTCTGTGAAAATGTATTTAAGAATGGCTGGGCACTGCTGTGGGGAGGATGCACAAGGGGAGATACAGGAGGAGACACGAGAAGATGCATGGGAGCAGACACAGGGGAAGGTACACCCTCAGGGTGCCTGCAGCCCATGCAAGAAGCTTTCTGGAGCAGAGGAAAATAGTAAGAAGCAAAGAGCAGAAGAAGAGGAATCTACTGAGGACTGAACCCAACCTCTTCTTCCTCCCATTGCCTTACCATGACTGAGCATCACATGCAGCAAAAGCAAGGACAGCAGAGGGTGTCTGCAGTCCAGCTGAAAGACGGAGGAAAGGTGTTGCCCCTAAGTGCTTGTCTGGCTGTTTCTTTTACCTGTTTCTCAATATCCAGGTCAGTAATTAAATGTACATGTAACTGTCAATAAATTAAAATTCATTGAAATTCCCCAAGTCATGATTGTTTCCCCCAAAACAAAAGCCTCATGACATCAAATAAATAAACAGAAGTGCACTGTACCCCATCAGGTTTGTTCAGGTCATTCAGATGCAGATCTTGCAGGAAATAATCAACTATTTTAATGCTGTTGCTCTGAGCGGCAAAATGCAGTACATTCATTCCTTCCTGAAAAATGGTAAATCAATCTGTAAGAATGTTTGGGGTTTTTTTTTTTTGCAATATAGACATGTTTAGGGTTGGTAAAAATTTGTCATCCACAAACCTCATTCTTAGCCTTTTGATCAACACCTGCTTTAACCAATTTTCGCATAATATCCAGATTTCCAGTCCAAGCTGCAAGATGAATCACTGTCAGGCCATGCTTCAAATAAAATGACAAAGGCAGAAATTACCATCAAAATACTTCAGTCCAAATGTCTTTAAATTTTTTTTATTGATTCAGTGTATTAGCAGGTTCCAATCTGCAGGCTTTCAGAAAAGCAATATGAACACTTCACAGTGTGGGTGGGATTCATCTCACTTAAATTAAGCTAAATGCAATAAGACCTAGGATAAGAGTAAGATAAATGTTTGACCTCTTCTTGACAGATGATTTGCATCTCTAGAGAAGGACTCATCCCATTTTAAGACAGAGGGGATTAAGTCCTACCTGGAAATTATTTTCTCTCTCCAGAAGCCACGCAGATAGTAGATAGTCCTGGGTGCAGTGGATGACATTCCAAGTGATAATATGCAATTACTACATTTCCATAAGTCACTATTATTTTCCATTTAGGCCTCTTTCTAGTGTTCTCACCTCTCAAATTCTCTAAAAACCTTTTCTCTTATAGAAGAAAAAGAACCCTCCTTTTAATATCTTAAATACAAAAGGGCTAGCTCAACCCTGTGCTGGTGCAGCCTCACCTTGAATGCTGGGGACAGTTTTGGCTGCAACAATACAAAGATATAAAGCTATTAGAGAGTATTCAAGAGAGAAACACAAAAATGGTGAAGGACCTTGAGGGGAAACCATATGAAAAGCAACTGAGGTCACTTGGTCTGTTCAGCCTGGAGGAGACTGAGGGGAGACCTCGCTGCAGTTACAGCTTCCTTGTGAGGGGAAAGGGAGAGGCAGGCACTGACCTGGCAGGAGCAGAGGGAATGGCATGGAGATGTGTAAGGGGACGTTTAGGGTGGATATTAGGATACCTCCTCATGTACCATGTGCTGCACTTCTAATCATTCTAGAGTTTGGCAGTTTGGCAGAGGGAGACCTGACACTCCTGGTGCACATTAAGTTGAACGTAAGTCAGCAGTGTGCTCTTGCAGCACACAAGGCAAATATCCTTGGCTGCATTAGGTAAACACTGTGACCTGGCCATGGGAGGTGCCTTGTGCTCACTCAAGTATTCAAGTTATCCAATACTTTGGGCAATGTGTTTTTCCTTTAAATTATTTTTTTTTCATATAAATATGTGCAGTTCTAAGACAAACCAGAGTTTTTACTGCAAGCTTTTAATTTTGCACAGCTGGGAGCACAAGAAAGATATCTACTTTCACTGTGCCTCGAAGGTGTTCCAATACACGTGAATCGAAAGAAGTAAGCCAGCTTACCTGATCTGCCATGTCAAGTCTAGCTTTGTGATGAAGAAGAAAATCCACCACGGACACATGGCCTCCCGCAACAGCAAAATGGAATGCAGTGCGCTTCAGCTGGAATAACCAAAGCTTGCTTTGTCAGGTCTGTAATACAGTCCTTTTCCCTGTGTAGGTGCTCAAGATTTTGGAATACTCTGCTTGTTACCAAATGTACCTGTTCATATATATATAGTATTTCATATTTCTCCTTCAACAGTCACACTTGATTTTTATCTACATATTTTGTTTTGTTTCCTTGGATAGAATTTAGATATTGATCTTAGAGAATTCTTGTAAAAACAGAATGATTTTGTTAGTCTACATAGTATTGTCTCTTCATTGAAATGTCAAAATGGGATTAAGTAGTCAAACACTATGTAGGGGAGGTGCATGCAGTGCAAGAAGCATCCTTGTTTATTATTCTATTGCATGGTGTAGTTTGAATAGCTGAGGACTACATGTACACAGTTAGATTTGCTTTTGACATCCTCCTTGCTTTTGACTAAACCTTTGCATTGCAAGCCAAGATTTATGCCTCACTCAGTCTTAGTCACCTTCCCAGACTGAGTCATCATCTACGTAAAGGAAAGTTACCACCTTGCAAACAGTGAGTAACTTTACAGAGGTGAATGGACTCAGTGCTTCTCAAGACTTCCATTAAGTAATTAGTGGTATATATTTAAAAGGGATTTGTTAACTTGAATTAAATTTTATTGCAGAGAGTTTTGCACTGTTTTGCTGAGTTAAAGGGTACATAAATGGGTTTAACATAAGTCACTGTTTCCATACAAAGATGTCTAAGAGACTTTATCAATTAATTTTAAAAGTCAGTTCAGATTTGTTTTCTTAGCTTCTCTAAAGATGATTCAACTTCTTAGTGTATAAATTTAAATTTACAACCAAATGTATCAAAAGGAATAATAAGTTGGGATTTATGATGTGTATTTATGTCAGAAAAATAGCCTTTTGTACTATAGAAAGAGTACTACCAAAGAGCTCATATTTTGACAGTCTTTCTTATTTGGCTTGAGAGTACAAGGGCAGGAATGATCAACATTAACAAAACAAATGGCATTGCTAGCATAAGCTACATCCCTACTAGGACAATTAATCCAAGCACAACCCCTCTCCACCTATGCTAGTAACTCTCATGCTATAGGTCTAATTTAAAGTTGACAGAGTAAAGTTTCAAACTACTGGACTGAAAAATGCATTTAGTTTAACTTCCTGAATTCTGGAAAGCAAGAAAGAAGAAAGAACTATTTCTAAGTGACCTTTTAGAGTATAATGCAATTGATACTCTAAGTATGCAGGAGAAGTGTGCTCAGAGGAAATGTTTGTCTCCTTGTCCGTTTCTTAAACAAATCCAGGAATGCACTATACTAGCTTCTAAATTCCCACGTGGGTGAAAATGCATGTGGGCAAGGGAAGCAAATTTTTTCAGAACCCAGAATAAGTAAACTGGATACTCACGGATAGATGATTCATAAGTAAACATTGAGAGGACACGGTTATGCAAAACTCCCAGATTAATATGACTGCTTCGTTGCTATTGAACTACCTCTCATGTGGAACACAGTGATGTATTTAGCTGCTGTGAAGCATCCTTAGATTTTAGGCCTAGTGTTGAAGTCAGCATAAGAAATGCATTTTTGTGTACCTAGGGTAAATCTGAACTCTGAGCTCAGGCTGGAGCCAGAGGATGTTGTAGAATGCTCCCACAGTTCATGCAAACCAAAGAGTAATACTTCTTTCTAGAAATTTGTAATGCTAGCAGCATTAATCCATTCTCAAAGTGACTCAGACAGATGGAGAACTTGAGAAATTGGTCACCAAAGAGCTCTGGGGAAACACCAGAGCAGGGGCACAACTGAGAAGTCCTTAGATGCCAATGTGATACACTGACTACTGCAAAACCTGAGAGTTATGCTGTACAAATCTTAATGTCCATAATGGCTGTAGGAAATGATTTGTCATCAGATCCTAGAGGGAACTTCTGCAGCCTCACCACCTTGCAGCTGAGGGGCATGCTGGCCTTCCCCCACGAAACCCCAAGGAGTCACCCCTCATATCAGTGATCTGTCAGGCACTTCATACTCACAGTATCTACAGCATTTATATCAACATTCTTTTTAAACAGCTTTTCCATGGTATCCAAATTATTCATTTTAGCAGCATATTGAAATTCTCTCTCATCTGGTAGTACTGTGGGAAAACATGATAAAAACCCCCATATTATTAAAAAAGTAGCCATAACCAACATAAGGGATGATTATATTATTTATATCTGTTATTTTTACTGATTTAATGTTATGAGAATCACTTGCTTCTCATCATCAAAGCATTTCATGACTATGTTTTTCTCCTTTAGAGACATCTGGCTGATATTACGAGTTTCAACTTTTAAGTGCAACTAAAGGGACACTTCTCAACGTAAATTACCAGAGTTTTCACTCATAGGAACAGTTTGTTTATGAAGCTCCTAGTATCTAACTGCACCCCAAATTACTGCATAGGCATAGCAGTGAATGCTATAAACTGCAGCATTTATTTCCTACACTTCGAGAAATTGTTCCATTTTAAAACACACCACCAAAACACAATATGTGTAAAGCAGTAACCAAACAGTGTGACATGACTGGAAAACAAACCAAAACAAACAAAACCCACTTCTAAACTGAGACATTCCTTTAAAGTCTCCATTCAAAAATTAGTATTTGTTTGGTCAGCTAAAGTAGTTACAAGGCATATTCAGTAACTCTGTAAAGTAAAATTCCAGTCTCTGATAACTAGTTTAACTGGAGGTTAGAATATTTTTCATGTTTCTGCCATAACATTTAATTAAACACTTAAAAGAAAATCATGTAGCAGCTACACCAACTGCAAAAATGCTAGTAGATTATTTTAATCCAACAGTATGTCATACTTTAAATATAATCAGTTAGTTGTCTTCTGTCTAGAATATTGTGGGCTGAAGGCCACTTGTCCAGTGATATCACCAAAGAGGCACCATTTTGTTGGACCAGAAACTACAGGAATTATCTATTCCTTAGAGCCCTCTCAGGCTAGTTCACCCTACCACATTATGTCCAAGTTCATTATTGCCTAATAAGGACACAGCTTGAAGCAGTATGACTGCAGAGCATGCCAAGGAAAATCAGGATGGTGTTCACTTAATTTTTTTGTTACCCATGGCTATAATCTCAAGGAGAGTAATCACATTTTTACTGTGTGATTAAACTGGATACTTGAAAAGGTGTTTCCAGTTTTCCTATGAAATTATCGAAGTGCCTCAAATAAGAATCATCCTTCCAAACTTCTCTGGGAATCACAGTACATGTGTTATATGTATTACAACATGCAGTCACAAGGAAGGAAAAAAAACTAACAAAAAAATAATTTGCAAATAAAAATGCGCTCCTGGCATCTGTGACAAGGAACATGGCTGACAGCAAAATCATCATTATGAACAGTGATCTTTGAAGAATAAATGCCTCAGTCCCAGTTTTCATAGTCATTACCCTAGGAAGTATCCAACAGAGCTTTCTACTTGATTTCAAACTCAGGTGAACAATGGTCAAAGAATACCTTGCTTAAGGTAAATTTATGGCAAATGTGGAAAAAAGGTACAGCGCTAATTAGCTGCAATTAATTACAATTAGGCCACATTCATTCTTGCTGACTGCTGTATCTTACATGAGGATGCAGAGATAAATGTACCTCAGCACAATCAGGAACACCCCCAAGACTTTATTCAACACTGCCTTCAAAAACAAGATAAAATCATGTTTCTTTACTGTATATGCATCAGCAAGGACAGTTTTGCAGTTCTGACAAAAAATAGTGTTCTTTTCTCTCCTGTCCAGAAGCCTCGGCTTGGCATGTGCTGCCAAAAAGACCTTTTGTTCTGTGCATTGTATTTCTTAATAATCTCTCTCTCTTCATACTTCTTAGTGATTCAGGAGTAAATAATCATGACAATGTAGACATACCATGTGTCATTTGAATTAGCTGAAAAAGTCCACGGAGGTAAAAAAAAAAAAATCAACAATATTTGGATTAAAATGGCAATAAAAGTATTTTTACCCTATTGTTTCTAAAAATTAAATCATATATTTAAGGATCTGTCAACATTTTCAAAGTTTTCTCTGGGTTTTCTTTTTATTGGAAATAAAATTACTAGAGCAATATAGAAATCTTGTTAAGGTACTAGGATTTTTTTCTAAAATAGCGATTTTGAATTTCAAAAAAGTCATGGGGAAAAACTACTTATTGAGTCTAATGGTGATATTTCATTGGTTATGTTTTTTATCTGCCCTCTTTGCCAGCCTGGGAGCAAGAACCACAGCCCAAGATAATGGCTCCTTGCTGTCACGCTATGATGGCAGGACTGGGGCAAAGCAAGGTTTGGCAAGTACCACTCAGTTTCCACAAATCACCCGTTTTCACTAACTGCAGCTCACACCAGAGCAGTCTGCTCTTTCACAGACTGGTATGCAGGTTGGAGATTCCGTCACTGGGTTGTTTCTGAGTGCAAGATCCTGTGATTCCTGCGTGCCTCCCAAAAGGAGGGCGCCGATTCCCTGCGAAGCTGGTGACGGACGCTCAGCTCTAGGGACGTGACTAACAGCAGCGAACCCTCCCAGAGCAGTTCAAAGGGGAAGGTAAAGCAGGGCAGTGGGCAGTTTGCAGGACCTCCCCTGGGAACACCACATGACAAAGCCCAACTTCCAATCCCACATCTACACATTTGCTTATGTCTTTTACTACGTGTACAACAGCTCATGTTTAACGTTGTCCTTTCCAGCCCCCACCGCCCATTTTGCTCTCCGCTCAAGGCAGAAAGCAGGTTTGGGTGGGGCCCAGCAGCCCTACCGGGATCGGACCCGCCAGGGAAAAGGTTTTCCCCCAGGGAAAGCCGCCGTGGCTGTGCCAGGCGCAGTGCGGGAACCCCGGACCCGCCTGGGCCGCGCTGCCCCCGGGCGGCCTCGCCTCCATCCCCGCGGACTCACGGCCCTCGTGGCTCACTGCCATGGCTCCCGGCGCGGCATCCTCCCCGGCGCGGAGCAGGCGGCTCAGGCCCTTCATTGCTGCCCGGGGCTCCTCTTCCTCCTCAGCCAAGGGAAAGGGCCCCAGGCCGGTGTGCCGAGGGAGGTGTCCTGCGCTGGCCCCGACAAACCGGTTCCCAAGGCGCCAGTACACGCTCAGTACACGCCAAACACACCCCTGAGGGCACACCTGCACAGCACCCCTCCGGTGCCCGGACACCACCGCGGGAGGCGGCAGAGCTCTGGAGCAGCTTTAGGGAGTTGTTCTGAGAGAAACCAAGCACAAAACACACCGCATTTCTTGACAGTGGATAGGCACTGGACAGCATCATCTCCGCCCCATTCAATCCCCTCAGGTCTTCCCTAGTAGCTAGCCTTATGTGCCAGGGGCAATCAGCACCCTCAAGTGCACGCATGAGGCAAAAGGCAGTCCCGTTGCACCAGAAAACCTTTGAAAAGCCATGCCGTAAGTACATGTGTACAGACACACAGAGGTTATCACAGCTTGCATGGGATGCCTGGAGCCAAGTGGATGTATTACTAACTACTCAGTAGTCATGGAGCTCTTTATGAAGGTTGAAGAGCATTTTGAGGAGTTATTCTCATCATTGTCAACTAGTGCTCACTGGACAGAAGGTTACCGTCCCTGCACTCCTGCATGTTTCACACAGACTTAGGGTGTGAGAGACTGAGGTGCTTCTGACATAAATTTGTGTGCAACTGTGCACATGTGGTAGCACAAGACCCTTCAATTTCAGGTAGAAAACGTTTGCATTTGCTTTTGTCAAAATCCCGTCAAAATCAAAACACACATTCCCAAAGGTTCTGGTTTTGTGAACTGACATACTGAGATCCATCTACCATCTATTTCTCAACTTACCTTGAAGTCCACTATGATTTAGTCTACTTAAGCCAGAATTTGTATTTCCTTTCACATAGGCAATGATTTTTTGCACAACAGGGCATAATTTTTTTCAAAGTGACTACTTTGAATTTTACTTTAAAAACAGCCTTTGATATTACTATTTCAAAATAAATATAGGAAAAGTAGTTCCAAGAAAGCAGAACCACCAGTATTCAGCCTTGCACAATTATAGACACATTTGAGATCCTTCACGGTAATTTTTTATTAAATTACACAATCATATTAATTTCCAAGATGACTAACACCATACCTGTCCATAATAATATTAATCTAAAAGACACAAGACTTTGTAAATTTAACAAATTTGGATATAAAAACTATTTGATCAGATTCTGCTTACCACAGATAAAGAGATTTCACAGTTCTTATCTCGTTTAAACATTTTTGGTATAGACAGGCTGTGATGTATAAAAATCTTTACAATTGATATGCTTCAGTCTGATAAGACAATTTCACCAACTGTATTTCCCATAGGTCAATGTAACTCAGCTGAAAGATAAAACAATCCTGTGAAAGTAATCTCAGTGAGAAGAACAAGCAACTGATTCAGCCATAACTGAATCATGGAGGTTTCATTTTTACTTGCTTGTCTCGAGTCAAATGCTCCAGCAATTTCTTAAAAGGAAGAAAGGTAGGTCTGTATTACTTATGGAAATACAGACTGTTTTCAATGTTAATGCTCCTTGTCAAAATGAGCAACAACAGAAACTATGAAGTGTTAGGTTTGCCTACAAAGCTGGCAACAAAAAAGGGATAGATTTGCAGTCTCATATAGAGCATCAGTTACAGTAAAATCATAATTTTCAGTCATAAAACACTGGCTGCTAATTTCCAGTTCCAATTACTAATACAATACTATTTCACAGCATATCCTGTGCTTAAATGTTATATGTAGTAAGTTTAACACATTCTCTAACCACTTCCTACAATCTTGACCTTTTCAAATGGCCCCTGTAGGCTGCAGACAGACTGACACAAAAACTTATGGAGGTGCAGAATCCAAACCACAGTGCAGAGCAAGGAAGTACTGTAACATATTCCTTAGTCGCCTTCACAGAGCTCTCACTCTGACAGGAAATCTGAGCACTTCCTTTAATACTTAAGATAAGCTTTTGTGAAAAGCTGCCAGAGGCTTCCTCCACGTCCAGCAAGGCCAATTCTAGCCAGCTCTAGATGCAGCCGCTGCTGGCCAAGGCTGAGCCAAGCAGGAATGGTGGCAAGGTCTCTCTGATAAGAGATTTGAGAAGAAAAAGAAGTTTTGCACAGTTGTAATTGTGACCACAGAAGAACAGAGTGAGAATATGTGAGAGGAACAGCTCTGTACACACCAAGGTCAGTGGACAAGCAGGGGCAGCAGGTACTCCAGGCACTGGAGCTGGGATTGCCATGTAGCTCATGGTGCAGACCATGGTGAGAGAGCTGTGCTCCTGCAGCCCTTGGAGGTCAGTGGGGGTGCAGGGATCCACCTGCAGCCCATGGAGGAGACACACACTGGAGCAGGTGGATGTCTGAGAGGGGGCTGTCACCTCTTGGGGAACCCACAGTGGAGCAGTGACCTGCTGACTCATGGAGAGGGGAGCCCCTGCTGGAGCAGGGACCTGCTGACCCATGGAGAGGGGAGCCCCTGCTGGAGCAGGTTTCCTGGTAGGACTTGTGACACGGTGGGGGACCCACACTGGAGCAGCCTGTCCTTGGAGGACTGCACCCCATGCAAGAGTGACCCACACTGCAGCAGTTCACAGAGAGCTGTTGCCTATGGGATGGACTCACGTTGAAGCTGATGGAGAACAGTCTCCCATGGGAGGGACTCCATATGTTAGAGCAGGGGAAAGACTTTCTGTGAGGAAAAACATGAGGAACTGACCATAACCCCCCCATAACCCCCAACTGATCATAATCCCCAGTCTCCATGTGCCATTGGGGGAGGAGGTAGAGTTGGGAAGGAGAGAAGGATGAGGGGAAGACTTTTTAAGATCTTATTTTACTTCTCATCCTGCTCTCATTTTTTTTAGTGATAAATTCATTTAATATCTCTAATTAGAGCCTGCTTAGCCCATGATGGTATTTGATGAGTGATCTCTCCCAGTCCCTCTCTCAAGCCATGAACCCTTCATTATATTTTCTCTCCCAGCTGTAGAGGTGAGTGAGAGTGGCTTTGGTGGCTGCCTGGCATCCAGCCAATGTCAAACCACTACAGAATTGTACTAAATAATTTACAATCACACTATGAATTTATTTTTCACAATAGTACTGACATATCCACAACCTTTTCATGACACTAGGATAACTCTATGACATTTCCTTTTTAAACAGATGGCAAGGAGACTTGTGGCTACTCAAAAGTTAAGCTAGTTAGTTAAGCCAACTAACTTATTTTTTCAAGCACTCAAGAGTAGCTTACTTCTTGCTATGTAAAGCTTAAGTAAAAATAGACATTTTAAAGATACAATGACAAGGCAATACTTAATTCTACACTTTTTGAATCAGAGATACAAACTAAAAAGGGGATAGGTGTTCACTTTGTAAAAAACAGTGGCAGCCTTATGTTTCCTCAGTTGCTTTTTTGTCTTTCCTACCAAAAGTTCCCATGTCTGTCCACAGAACAGCTCACGCTGAGTGCTCACTGATCCCGTGTGCTGGTTTCACCTGGGGAGGACAGACTCAGAGAGGTTTTTTTTCTATGAGAACTTCCTTTGTGAGTTGAGGGGACTAGTTGAAAGCTGGTTTGCTTATTAACAGCCTGAGGAACCAATTGGAGAAAGTTAGTTTGCTCCGTGAAAACACACTTTGAAGGAGGTAATCTGGAACTGAGTCTCTTTCGATTTCCAGTGGCAGTGCAGGTATGAGGGCCCCGACCTGGTCCCATTGCAGGCCTGCGGGCCTGGCAAGGGACAGGGCCGGCCCCTGTCTGGGGACTGGCATGGCCCCACTGCAGGGAGAGAGGTGGCCATGGGCAGTGGCTGCTGCAGCTGAGCCCAGGGAGGCTCATTGTGATCCCAGCCATTCCCCCTCCTCCCCCTTTCCAGTGTGGCCTGAGTTTCCGAGATGCTGGCACAGCTCCAGCATTGCAGCCTTGCATCCCTCTAACTTTCAGTGCTCAGATAAGACTTGCAGACTTTTCAATCCTCCCCAGAGTGAGAAGGGAAAAATAAAAGACCTAAGTTTCTTTAAATGGAAGGAGAATAAAAAGATGCTGTGAAGATGGCTGAAAATCCTTTTGTGAAGTTGTAGGGATTAACTGATATTGCACTGAATATTCCTGTAAACTGTGGAGAAAAGACAGGGGGGGTTGGAGTGTTCCATTTGATAGATCATTTGACCAAAAGCATCTGTGTTGAGAATCTTTGCTCCGAGGAAAAAAAGAGATCTTGGTTTTCTGAAGATGAAACATAAACAGAGAAAAGAGAGAAAGAGAACTTTTGTTTTTGAACAGCTCATTCTTAAAAGTAATACCCCATGAGTTTAACATGGCCCATAAGCACAGCTTTGGGAAAGCTGTCAAAACGGGAGGAGCTTCACGATTTGAAAGTTTTTTCTCGGGCGGATGCAAATCGTGAAAAGTGAAGCCATGAGAGAGCTAGTTTTTTTTCCCTCCTGTGGAGAAGTCCCTATGGCCTGACAAGAGGAAACTTCGCTCTCTGAAGTAAACTGAAAAGGACTATTTAAGTTGGGAACTGACTGAAGTAATTTTTTTGTATGTTTGTTTTGTTGTTAAGAAGGAATAGGAAGAGGGAGGAGGGAGTGGTCTGAAAATCTTATTCTGAATTTGTTTCTTTCTTCTCTTTGTGTAGTTATAGTTAATGAATTTCTTTTTATACCCTTTTAAAAAAAAGTCAAATTAAACCAAAACACCCCTTTTAGAAAAAGCTGACTGAATCAATTTACAGTCTGAACTAGTCCAGGTGATTTGGTCCAAAGCAGATAAGGGAGTACCGACAGGAATTCAAATGAGAGAGCTGTGGATACAGCAGCATCTGACAAACAAACAGATAAGCAGGTAGAAATGGTGTAATCATTTCAGCAATTCTGGAAACAGGAGAGCATATTCTGAACTGATCTTGGGCATCTAAGTCATACCATGTATACATTCTTTTGTTTAGAAAGCAAGCAAATCCCAATACAGTCGAACAACAAAATAGATGCTTCTACAACAGCCACTTCTTTAAAAGACTTTGCAGTTAAAAAGCAACTTATATTTCATACAGAGCTTGGCACCGTTTGTATAACTTCTAAGAAATATGCTGTTTTAATAAATTATTGGTCTGATAAATATTTAATTATAATAAAATATCTTTAAACAATTTGGTGCGATCAGAAAAAAATCTGAACAGAGCATTTTAAATAATTGCATTTAACTTCCTCTTTCCATATATACACTTACAGAATACACTTTATTCAGAAATACAAAATAGTTTTAAATAGAAAGGTAGCTTAACAATAAGAAGATTCATTATCTTTGCTTTGCACATAATTAATTATTATTGCACCATGAAACCTTTATTTAGAGTAATTTTAGTGCTACTCATTGGTAACAACTCCAAACTGTAAAGAAATTTTCAGTCTCTTTGGAAAGGCCAAAGATCAAACAGCATTTGCCTGGAGGAATCCTTCTCTTAACAGATCTTTAAACATATTTTTAAATAAGTGAAGTCGTTGTGTATCTCACCACAAGTCCTTCAGATGTGGTCGATCAACTCTTACTGAAGTAATTTTCAGTAACAACAATGAAAGCTTGACAGGGCTCCAAGTTCTTGTACTTATCCTGTCTAACTGCAAGACTAATATATTTTTGTGCTGACTACAAAAATAGGCGTTTGTTAGCTGAAATCAAGCAACTCAACTCTTCTTTGTTATCACACAGTTAATCTCATAATTTTACTTTTACAATAAAATCAACAGAGAAGTTCAGGTGTGAGAAGGATACAAGTTCAGCAAGTACAGTGAGGCACCCTAACTAATGATTCCTGTGTTCTAGGGAGCTAAATCAAAGTGCTAGGAAATTCTGATTCTTGGAAACAAGTGTAAAAAAAAGTATTATTCTCCAAAGGAAAGAAAAGAAAAAAACCTTCATTTTACTTCTCCTTCTATCTCAGATATCATGTTCTTGTTAAACAGATATATAATGGTTCCAAAATGACAGGCACCTGAACCCAGCCGACTGCCAATGCTAAATCAACTTGCAGTTATAAAACTGTATGAAATGCTTCATATAGAACACGTTGGTACACAGTCATTTAAAAAACATTTCAATTGTCTGTTTGGAATTGCTTGACTTGGCCTTTTTAGATAGTGACTGTGAAGCTGTTAGTCCAGACCTAAGGTTAAACAAAGGGGAAAAAAACAAAACAGTAAGGGGTTAATACACACAATGCATACCAACACAAGTTTTATAACACTGAATGTTTTTCTAGACTTCATTATTTTAAAACAAGTTGTGTACTCAAACTTCCAGAAAACACTTACCTTTTCACTCCTTGTGATGGATTTGTGCGCTGCAGTCCTTTGCTTAAACCTCCTTAAAAGTAATTGAAGACAACGAAAATTAATTACTTCAATAATGAAACAACGCTTCAGAAGTTAGATATATGGAAAAACGTTTTCAAAAATTTTATCTTTCTCAAGAACCAGATAACATTTTATTATCTGCAGCTTGAATACTGTAGTTAATATTACCATTTTTAAAAGAGAAAATCAAAAAGCCTTTAGGTTATTGAATTTTAAGTGATTACTTTGAACCTTGTAACAGTTTTCAGAAATATTTCAGCATAATGTAATTGATTTTCAAGGTGGTAGCTGAAAATTTCATTTTTAATGTTTTTTACTCTGCAGGGGCCAGAAAAGAAACTTCACCTAAAGTAAGTCTTTAATTTAAATTAAAGCCTGTTTGCACATGTAATAGCAGTATCACTTTGAAAATTTTCTTGTAAAATGCTGTTATTGTGAGTCTTAATCATATTCTGAAAATTCTAACACACTAGCATTTTAATTTCCTTTTATAAAGTTCCCAAAATAGATTAGGGACTACTTTAGGTGTATATTTCACTACCTGCATATGCACTCTAATCTGGTTGAACATAAACTTTTTGTCAAAAAGAGAAACTACTTCAGAAAACATGAATGATACTGCTGTGGCATTTTACAGGTGCAGTTATGTGATATATTTTATTAACTATAAAACAGACTTGGAAGTTTCTTCCTTTAAGCTCTAGTTCTCATCTCCCTATTTTTGCCAGCACATGACATAATGGAGTTTTTCTGTTAACTGAATCTGAAACAATCCAGGTTGAAGACATTTTCATTTATCTTCACTTTAATCCCAGTGGCCTTACAAACAACTTTCTGAATATGTTTGGCTGTAACTAACATACAATTTCCAGAAATGAGCAGTAATTCCTATGTCACGTTTGTGGCAAATGGGAGGGCACTGACAAACTAACATCACATTCATAAATTTAGTTTGTCATGAAAATCAGTTTGATATTTTTTAAATAAAAAATTTCACTCCTATATAGGCCTTACTTAAATGAGCCTGTTGAGAAAAAAATTCAAAGTCCCAAAAAGTTCAAAGTACACCATTGCTAAAGTATCTTAATTGCAAATGCAGACAATTTGAATAATCAAATATATACTAATGCATATACTTACCAGAAAGAAAACTGTTTGAGTTTTCCCTATTATAAGTCTTAGTAGGAAAATCCTCTTTTTCTGTCAGCTCCTGGATAAGGCCTTTATTTAAGCAGACATCCACATGTCTGTTAAATGACACAAGATTGGTGGTTTTCTGTTCTGAATTACAAACTGGACAAACAAGAATATTGTCTTCTTTGGCTTCAAAGAAACAGGATGAACTAGTTCCTTCGGTATGTTCAGTCTTGCCAAAATTGTCTTCCTTGTCTTGTGGTATTCTTTTGGGGAAG